TTCATCATTTCATGATTTTTTAATAGGCGTTAATTGATGTTCGTAGTACAAATATTCTGCACAAAGGACATTACCTCCAAATCCTCTGCCTCCATAGCCTCCAGATCCTCCGAATCCACCACCGCCAAATCCGCCTCCGTGTCCACCGCCAAATCCGCCTCCGTGTCCACCGCCAAATCCGCCTCCGTGTCCACCGCCAAATCCACCGGCGGCGGCCAAGGCGACCACGAGGGACAGGACCACGACGGTGAAGAGAACTCGAGTCTAATGGAAGCAGAGAATGCATTATCATTATTTTCTCGTAATTCTTTCCCCTTGGTATGTAGAGAGACCAACTTCTCATGCATGAACGTAGGCCTTAAGCTCTTCCATGTGTATTCTTTTTCTTCTTTCGAATCGGGTCTTTCAATTGATTTACAGAGCGCGAGTGCAGAACTTGTTAGACATACCATGTTAGTGATGGGTGCGCTGCGAGACGACTGACGCCGTGGCTGCAGCGCGGGGCTTTTATACTCCCGCCGGCCAGGAAGGCTGGCAGGAGGAGCGGGAATGAGGCCGCGACCTTCGAGTTTCTCTGGAGTCTGCGTGAGGAAGCGAGGTCAAGGCGCGACTTGGTGTTGGCTGGATGACCTAACACGAAATTCATCGCCAACACATTCATCCTTATAATGACTTTCACCATGTGAAATCCGAAGAAAGTTTTGCATGAGCATTAATATGGAGGATAAATTGTTATGCAGTCGGCCATTTCAGGAAAAAAACACAAGGGCTGTATGGATATTACATGGGATAGGGATGTATGGGTGTAGCTATAGTATAGACAGACGGGAATCATTCGAAATTTGGTGCTGCAAAAATATTAATTTTCCATGTAGCGACTTGGTGTTGGCTGGATGACCTAACACAAAGTTCGACGCCATTACCGTACTTTCATTATTCACCATTGCAGTGACTTTTCCCATAAAAAAGTATCAGCACTGATTTGTAAGAAAAAGAAGAAGAAAAATGCATTACAGATATAATATTCGATAAACAGACAGGTTGATCAAGCGAGATTTTGTTCTACAAAGCACTTCGTCAAATATCAATTTTCCATGTAGCTTCATATGTCCACTAAAAATGGTTACTACAATAAAGTTTTAATGAGATTAAGGAATTCTGAAGATGTTGCGCTGATTATCAAAGGAATATATATAGGCGTAGAAAGGTATTTTGAGGGGGGGGGGGGGCAAAACAAGTCCCCCAAAATAGCTGGGGGTCCTGGAGGCTTTAGCCCCTGGTCGGGTCCAGGGTTACCGGCCTGGTGGGAGACCGGGGCAAAGCCCTCGGAAGCTCCTGGATTTTAGCAGTTTTCAAGAGATAAGTTTAATAATTTCTGCACTAAAATGTCAGACATTTTTATTTAGATAGTACTAGACGTAATGGTTATTTCACGTTGAACGCAAGACTCAGTTGCAGCTGCCCTTTCAGGTGCAGGGGGTCAGTGGTCTCAGCAGGGTAAGGAATTGCACTGTTTGTTTACAGGGAATGTCCTCGAAAGCTGAGGAAGGGGGGGGGGCAGAAGTTGGGTCCCGCCCCTTCATTTAGAGTGTTGGGCAGTCGCCCCCCCCCCCCCGCCCCTTTTCCTACGCCTGAAATATTGGAAAACAACATCGCCTTGTGTAGGATTCGTTGTCTTCCATATCTGACTTGTCTTCTCCCGTTTTCTTATTCAAATCCGCTTAATGGTTCTCACTCTCTCGGCCACTCTTCCATCCTCTCGCGTTCCTCTGCCTCCCATCTCCATCGCCCTCGTCTCCTTATTCCCAAAGCCCTTACGCTCGCTCTCTGTGCACGAACGTCTGTTTCATGTTAATCTGCCGCTCAGATAACCCTCTGGTGCTTTTCTTATCCGGAAGATAAGAAGTTCTTCCGTATCTTGGGCGTTTGGGCTAGATTTTATTCATATATATACATACACACAAAAAATGTCAGTAAGTTGTGTGATTAATATGTATATAGTACATATACAGAGCACACACATATTATCTTGTTTATTTGTCCGTTAATTCATCTGGATATTTCCAAATCTAGCATCAAATTGATATATAATCAATGACATAATACTGCACACGATGCACACACATACACAGACACATAACATTATACCACACAGATGAGTGAAAACTCTTCAAAATCTCACATACAGATATACAAACTCATAATTAAAAGCATTATTTCGCTTTGGAGGATTTGTTTTATACATTTTTTTTTATTACCAGCAACATTCAAAGAGGTGCATACATGATGTTTGAAGAACTATACATGCATCAAGTTCTCTGTAGATAACATCTAATGACCTACATATGTGAACAATTCGAAAACAAGTTTTAGAGAGCTGTCTGTGATTTCATAGTATTGCGGAGCCATTTTCCGATACCAGTCATTGCATCGTATGTTTAGAGTGTCACATGTCCGTTTTGTCTTCAGTGAGACAAAGGCTGTATTCTGGGTAGGAAAGGTCAGGTATTCAGAATGTGCTAATTTCCTTTACATTGCTATTTAACTTCTTTTTTTCTTTTTCTTCTCAATGACGATCTACATTCTTCCTTGAAATGGTCATGGCAATCAATAAGAGTTGTGTGTTCAGTAATATAATCTGGATATATTTTATAGTATTCTTCAGCCTGACATATCTACATATGAAACTGACGTCCACCGTGGTACAATACCTGATGATATATTAATGTAAAACTGGCACAGAAACTATTCATGTATATGTGCATTATAGTGTAGGAGGAAAATCAGGAATACGTTGAATTTACACTTTAATAAAAAAAATAGGAATACACTTTTCAATATACATTCCTCCTGGAGGTGAAAGATCGTCGAAGCGCTTACTTTCCATATCGTCCTGAAAATAAAGAAATAAATATTAAGATATCCAAGTTGAGGAGTAACGTGTTCTCGGTAATATCACTGCAATAGGTAGTTTGATTTGAACTTGATATTTTACCTCCAAATCCACCTCCGAATCCTCCGTGACCGCCTCCGAATCCTCCGTGACCGCCTCCGAATCCTCCGTGACCGCCTCCGAATCCTCCTCCGAAGCCTCCATGTCCACCTGTTATTGCATGGAATATGAGAGTGAAGATCCGTCAGAGATTTCATCATTTCATGATTTTTTTAATAGGCGTTAATTGATGTTCATTATGTTCGTAGTACAAATATTCTGCACAAAGGACATTACCTCCAAATCCTCTGCCTCCATAGCCTCCAGATCCTCCGAATCCACCACCGCCAAATCCGCCTCCGTGTCCTCCGCCTCCGTGTCCACCGCCAAATCCGCCAAAAAAAATCCGCCTCCGTGTCCGCCGCCAAATCCACCGGCGGCGGCCAAGGCGACCACGAGGGACAGGACCACGACGGTGAAGAGAACTCGAGTCTAATGGAAGCAGAGAATGCATTATCATTATTTTCTCGTAATTCTTTCCCCTTGGTATGTAGAGAGACCAACTTCTCATGCATGAACGTAGGCCTTAAGCTCTTCCATGTGTATTCTTTTTCTTCTTTCGAATCGGGTCTTTCAATTGATTTACAGAGCGCGAGTGCAGAACTTGTTAGACATACCATGTTAGTGATGGGTGCGCTGCGAGACGACTGACGCCGTGGCTGCAGCGCGGGGCTTTTATACTCCCGCCGGCCAGGAAGGCTGGCAGGAGGAGCGGGAATGAGGCCGCGACCTTCGAGTTTCTCTGGAGTCTGCGTGAGGAAGCGAGGTCAAGGCGCGACTTGGTGTTGGCTGGATGACCTAACACGAAATTCATCGCCAACACATTCATCCTTATAATGACTTTCACCGTTTGAAATCCGAAGAAAGTTTTGCATAAGCATTAATATGGAGGATAAATTGTTATGCAGTCGGCCATTTCAGGAAAAACACAAGGGCTGTATGGATATTACACGGGATAGGGATGTATGGGTGTAGCTATAGTATAGACAGGCGGGGAATCATTCGAAATTTGGTGCTGCAAAGGATTCAAATATCAATTTTCCATGTAGCGACTTGGTGTTGGCTGGATGACCTAACACAAAATTTGACGCCATTACAGTATTGTCATTATTCACCTTTGCATTGACTTTTCCCATTTGAAATATGAAGAAAATTTGTATCAGCGTTGATATATTGGAAAAGAATTGTTATTCGGTATATAGCGTAGGGTAGGGCTATATCCAAATAACATATATATTGGGAAACAACATCACCTTGTGTATGATTTGTTGTCTTCCATATCTGACTTGTCTTCTTCCGTTTTCTTATTCAATTCCGCTTAATGGTTCTCACTCTCTCGGCCACTCTTCCATCCTCTCGCGTTCCTCTGCCTCCCATCTCCTTCGCCCTCGTCTCCTTATGCTTGCTTTTGGAACTGCTCGTCTTGCTCGTCCAGACATCTTGTCCTGGACCAGCAGGACAAGTGGGCCGCGTTCGGAACCTCCAAGACCCTTTCCGCCCAGAATGCAACCGGCTCGAATGTAAACATTCATTATTTTTTAAAATCTTTTTATCATACCGGTGTCTTTATTTTCACGCTGCATAGGTTTTTGTAACTCCTTGATGCATATTTAACTTACCTGCAACTGACAAAAACACAAAATATCCTTTGATAACACCAATAAAGGGTCAATAAAATTACCCACCAATAATCTTGTGGTTACCTGCAACTGTCAATGTTTTACATACAAAACCTATTGTGACGATCATCTCGTCCTGCTCGGCCACCTTCGCAGGAGGGCGAGTTGGACGAGCTGGACTACTTGTCCGGGACGAGATAGTGGAGGTTCCGAACGGTCAAAACACAGCTCGTCAACTGGTCTGGACGAGATAGACGAGCAGTTCCGAACGCACAGAACTATTCCCAAAGCCCTTACGCTCGCTCTCTGTGCACGAACGTCTATTTCATGTTAATCTTGCCGCTCAGATAATACCCTCTGTGTCAATTTTATTATCCGGAAGATAAGAA